CCCCAAAACCCCAAAACCCCTAGTCAATGATTAAAATTGGATGAGTTTCATTAAATTAATAAAGTCAAAAATAAATGTTTTGATAGGTGAATTCATAGGCAAAAAGTCTTACTATTTACCCCCATCTTTCATTTCTGAATTCTACATACTTCAATTACTATTACTATACTTGATTACTAATTAATTCTTTGCTGTCAATTGGATAATCTTTCTGAACTAAAGTCTCATTAAAACTAATGAACCCATTAATTTTTGTATCAATTATCATACTATTAACATAGAGATCAATACTTTTGTTTCTTATAAATAGGCCAAGCCGAACTACTTTACTTAAGGGTATATCAGTAAGGCCTCCAAGCTTAATCTCAAACTGTGGGAGATTTTTTATTCTATTCACAATCCAAGTTAAAAGTTTGAAGAATTAGTCATCATATCTTTTATTCACAGACTGTTATGTTTTTTCATTGTCTTCTTATTAACAACACTCAAAATATAGTTTCAATTTTCTGAGTTAAGTACAGCCATAGCATATCTATTTTATTCTCATTAGGATATTTATTGGTGGTTATCCACCGTTATCATAAAATTCTAAATTAAGTAGGCTTGATGCATCAATACATTTGAAGAATGAGAACTTCGTAAAATTTGTATCCTTAATTATCAAATCTGTGAGTCCTTTGAAAAATGGCTATGTAAATCTCTATGTATAGTTGATCTTAAACTCCTCAACTATACAAGAGTCGATTACTAATCTCTCACAAATTGACTGTTCATATACTACCTAATCTAAGGGCTTAAGTTTAATCTTTGAACTGTTGATTTTAACCTCTTTAGAATACTATAAGAACGGGAGCACCTATTCAATTGGGCATTAGCTTAGATTTAGTCCCTTAAAAAACTCAACACTTCTAAATATTAATCCATTTTGCCATTTCTCACTTTGATACTCTTAAATTGCTTTTGTAAAATTAGGATTATAGCTTTTGATAATCAAGCATAGCTAATTATTCCTCATGTCATAAGACAACAATTTGCAGAACTATTAAATCTATTCCAACTCAATATTTTAGTTTATCTCGATTGTTAAGAATGCTGAATAGTCAAAAAACTCAACTAGATAGTCAAAGGATTTCAAAGATGAAGGTGCTGTGCTTTATCTTTGCTCATTATTTTAATCCTGTAGCTTTTTTTTGAAGATAGTTAAGGTGTTCTATTAAGGAGTATTCATATCTTCAGTCGAGGCTTAATAGTCATTCATTGAATACAAATACTAATCTTCGTCTTGCATTTCAAATTTACCATGAATATTTTCGCTGAGTTAATTCATGATTGCACTCTTACTGTCATTTTAGGGTATTCTTAGTCTCATTTATTAGCCTTGATTTCAATTATCTAGCTTCAAGATTAAATTTCTAGTCTAGTTGCTTAGTTTTGAAATTACATAGAATAACGTCTTTTGATCTAAATAGCTATAGATAATCAACTTCAGCCTTTTGCTCAGTCTAGACATATGCGTCTATAAATTATATTATGAGTTTAATATGAATTGTGTACCAATCAATTTATCGATTCTGTATAACTTTTAACTTTATCATATTCTGGGGTTTTGGGGTTTTGGGGTTTTGGGG